TCTGTCGGAACACCATGTTGTTCAGACGAAAAGCAAAAACCAACCTATAACAATCTGTCAGGCCCTAATTATAATTACTATTTAAACTTTCCTGGGCATAAAAAAAGTGACCAGTACTACTTGGCATTATAACTCTTCTATTAAATGTTAACAGAAATTAAAAGCATCCACAACATTTCCATTACTCAAGTTCTGATTGCTCCCTGTAGAAGATAAAAATCTGTATTATCCAACATGCCACCGAACGTACTCAAATGGGTGCTCCGGGCAGTCGTATCTGGCATGAGGCATCACGTCCCCTTGCTTGCAGAATGTAACCAGTAGTTCACATTCTGCATCCACCACCTCTTCACATTTCTTCTCCTCAAGACTAGACTTTTCTGTAAAAAGGAAAATAACTATGATGTATTCTAATGAATAATGAATATCAGCTGTAATTTTAAGCAAAACTAGATTACAGCTCTTTGGCACAGGACCTGTCTTTTGGCTCTGTGACTGTATCGCGATGAATCCTAACAGTGCTCTGTCCACAACACGATCTTCGCCACAGTATAAGTAACAATGATAAGCAACTTAAAGGGAGTAAAAGCTTTACATGAACAAAGGCCAGATTCTGAAAAGTTCTGTGGTGCTTTGAAAGCCATATATCAACATCATTATTCATGATTTAAACAAAAAAAAAAAAATCTACTTATACTCCTGCATTTAAGTTAAGGATTTCATTGAGTTCTATGTTGAGGGATTGAAAGGGGTGTGCAAAATTCTGAAAAGAAACTCTTTTACTGTTTTGTTTTGAAAAGGTCTGGGCTCATTTTACAGCAGAACACGTCATGCAATGATAAACTTGTTTAGCTATGATGTTATTGGAGCTTCCCCTGTGAAAATGTTGCTAAAGATTCTCTGCATTTGAACAACTTTTGAAACAAATGAACAAAAAGTTACGAGGCAGTACTGTGCTCTGACCTACAAAAACTGCCACGTATTTATGTCTGTCATTCCTTCGCATATTTTCCACAGGGCAGTGAATCAGATGTCTTAACAGCTTGCTTCGATTTCTACTTTCCTGTTTATGGGATTCATTAAATTGCATGGTAAAAGAAGGGGCAAGTAGCTACTATTAGAGCTTTCTCACTACAAACTAAGGACACACACCTTGCTGGGGTTATTTGACCCTAGCAGTCTTTGCTGCCCAGAGCAGGGGGGCTGGACCTGATGATCTCAAGAGGTCCTTTGCAACCCTTCTGTGAACCTGTGAAGAAGTAAAAGGCTCAACTTTTTTCCCTTTGCAAGTTTAGACTTTGGGGAAATGGTCAGCAAAACCACATGTATATCACTCAAACATTTTCAACTAGAAAGGAAAAAATACAGTGGATGCTTATAGAGGGAGTCCACCATCCTAAAAATCAAATTTCTATCTAAATAGTGTATTCCCATTGACGTGTGGTGCCTGGGGACTGAAACAAGGCTGTGAGCTTACTCGGAGGATGCAGTTCTTCAAATAAAATATATATTTTCAGTGCCAATTAGCAGCTCCAAAACCACTAGTCCAACATTTTCAAGGCTTCTGACAGTCAGTTTCAGGGCTCATACAAGAAACTTTGAAAATGGCAAAAGCTCTTAGGTTTCCAGCCTGCTAATTCCCCATATCTTTTAGGCTTCTAATAGCAGCTGCAAAACTTACTTGCTCTTTTCAAGGCTCCTCAAACCAGCTTTTTGACAGGTGCCTCCCCCTCCCCATTTGCATTAAGTTAAGCAGGGCACAATTACATTAAAATTACACAACAGAGCTGAAAAATGCTATGCACTTCAATGGTTTGCACACTGAACTAAGATTTGCTCCATGTATGCAGTGGGCCACAAATCTGGACTGATGCTGCTTTAATTTGTTAAGCAAATTATGCAATTATCCAAAACGCATGTAAATAGAGAACATTTTTTTGCATCTGTGTTTGTTACACGCAAGAGCTACAGCTGCCGACAGAGAGATAAAAGGATTGTCGTCTTTCCAGCTTGTTTAGTGCGTGTCGTTCCAAGTGCCTGGCTATTTTATTGTTGCCCCTTTCAGTTATTTTCCTGATTGGGTGGTGCGCATTTGACAAGAGAGAATCACATTTGTTCTCACGCTTTCTGATCATTTTGAAATCTGAAACAGGCCGGCCGCGAGGCTAGGAAGCAGATGCACGATCCTGGTTCAACGATACGCTTCTGAAGAGCTTTGCCGAGGACAGAAGCACGGCACTTACCCGAGGGCTCGACAAATATAACCGAAGTCCCTTGCGTGCAGTCAGCTTCGTCGTCACTGATCAGGATCACGCTCTCCTCTCCACTGTCCTCCGGCAGTGGCTCCATGGTACCTAATCGCAAAAAGAAACCTCTTTGCATCTGCAGGTTGCTGGGTACAAACAGACGTGGCATTTGAGTCGGGGGGCAAAAGGCGGGGCATTTGAGGGGGGGGGGGGGGAGGGAGGGCAAAAGGGGCAGAATGGCATTCAAGCTGCAGACGCAGAGGACTAAGCGCCTGTTTGGGGGCGAGTTAAAGGCTGGATCAACTCCCAATCTGTTTTCAGCCTCAGAGCACTTGGCAGAGCAAGGGGAACTGAAACCCAGGAGGGAAGGAGACTCGTGCACGGCCCTTCCAGGGGCAGGGGGAGAAGCAGAGTCCGCCCCAGAATGGCATTCAAGCTGCAGACGCAGAGGACTAAGCGCCTGTTTGGGGGCGAGTTAAAGGCTGGATCAACTCCCAATCTGTTTTCAGCCTCAGAGCACTTGGCAGAGCAAGGGGAACTGAAACCCAGGAGGGAAGGAGACTCGTGCACGGCCCTTCCAGGGGCAGGGGGAGAAGCAGAGTCCGCCCCGATCCACGGAGGACAGGCCTCCGCCTCGCTGGGGCAGCTCGGGACCCGCGGCACCCCGAACCC